GACTCGAAACCATCGTCCCATTCCTCCGCATCAATCACATCGTTGTCCACACCATTGGCTTCATTCACATTACTGTCGACACCATTAAGTTCTTTGACATCGTTGTGGACATCATTCACTTCAATCATATCCTTTTGGTTGTTATCTGTGGGCTGAGGCGGTGGAAAGTCGTACTGAGACAGCATTTCATCCAAAGAGTCGTCGAACACATCCTCATCATCACCACAATCATTGCCATTCACTTTACGCACATCTGAATCACTTGCCATCTGAACATCAACTTTAATGTCACACAAATCGGACACAATCTCATTGTTTCTATTAATGCTCTCATTATCCAAATTATTATCATAATTGTCACCAAAAGTCTTCTCAAATGGTTTCAGTGCTGTCAACGCGTCAGTCATTACCTCCATCTGAGATACACCTTCAGCACCACCACTAGACTGACCACCATTTTGGTCACACACGTCGTCGTCATTATCATCAGTCGTGCAGGACTTCCATGTGGTCAGCAAATTGTGGACATCATCACAAGCGGTTGACTTATTGGCGCCAATCACACCATTCACACCCTCACCAGCTGTTTGTTTGCTGTTATTGGTGGCAAACCTCTGGACAACCACTAACTCGTGGTCATCGTCCACATCATCGCCATAACCGATGAACGTCTCGGTCGACAACAATGTCTTCACTTTCGGCGGACTCTTAAGTCGAGTGAATTTAACAGTAATTCTGGGCGACGGCTGACTTCGTTTGCGGGTCGGGTAGTATTGGCACAGATCCTCCTTTACCGGTGATGGCGACGAAGACACCTCTGCTTCAGTGGTCACGGCTATCGTTATCTTACGACTCCGAGTCTGTCGACCACTTTCTGTCACCTCTTTCGCTACAGGTTTACGCTTTCGATGACTACTTGGCTGTCGTTTTGCCATAACGATCACTACTAGTGGACACTTGTCTATCACTTATGGATCAATTTGGTGACAAACAATGAAATGGCAACCAGTAATCACTCAATGGGTTTACTAACCATAACCTCAACAGTGAATGAATTTCACACAAAATGACTGTAATTTTTCATACAAATACACTATTGCTTACTATTGGTTAACGTGAGGTCACGTGCCCTTACATAACCGCCAATCAACGCTTAGATTTTAAAATATTTAAATTGAATCATTCATATATGCTGTCACTAATAAACAAACATTTATTGCCCCCTCATATAATTTTAATGATAAACTTCATAAACAACTCCTCAAATAGTAACTATTTATTCTGTTTTAATTTCTCATTGAGAATACTTTTGTCGACAATTGAGTGCTTAATCCTATTATAAGAATATGAATAATCTCTACAAATCTAATCATTGGATTGTACTGTAAGTGTAAATGCATTAGTCTAACAAAATAGTGATCCAATGTTTACACGTGTTTGACATTCACTGCACACTTCAGTCAATGATCATCAGTTTGGACACAATTTACATACCATTTGTCACATTAATTACCACATCAGACATGCGTTGATATATCGAGGAATACATACGAGAAGACGATTATCAGAAGACATGAATTACACCGAAGAACAGACCAACGAATTGGAGGCTTTGGAAGCGATTTACTCCAATGAATTAGAAGGTATGTGTGGATCAGTTGTGGTGATGATTATTACTAACCTTGTCTTCATCCTAACAATCCAGTGGTCAGTCGGACACCATATCCCAAGTTTACGGTATCATTGAAGTCTGACCCACAGAACAATGTGGACGTTAATGGGGACACCATTTCGGACAACATATGTACGGATCAAATGCTCTGAAGAACTATTGATTATGATGTGATTGAGTGTTTGATTTGATTGGCAGATGAAGTGGTGCTGCAGTTCCGCTTTCCAGACACATATCCGGATACACTTCCAGAGATCGAGATCACAGATTCAGCCAATTTGGATGACATCGACGAACGGGAACTGCTGGACCTGTTGGACACGGAGGGCAACAGCAGCATAGGAGTGGTGATGACGTTCACAATGGTGTCGGTGGCCATCGATTGGATTAATCGTCTGTCGGAGCGAAAGGCGACTGAAATGAGAGAAGCGTTGGAACAAAAGCGGCGCGAAGAGGAAGAGGCGGAGCACAAGAAGTTCGAGGGAACGCGTGTCTCAGTCGAGACATTCATGACTTGGAAGCAGAAGTTCGACGAAGAGATGCACAGTTTGGACAAGACTTTTAAGGCGCGACAGGAGCTCAGCAAAAAGCTGACGGGAAAGCAATTGTTTGAGACCAATAAGAGCCTCATAGAGTCGGACCTCCAGTTCTTGGACGACGGCGACCAGGATACAGTTTGGACAAGACTTTTAAGGCGCGACAGGAGCTCAGCAAAAAGCTGACGGGAAAGCAATTGTTTGAGACCAATAAGAGCCTCATAGAGTCGGACCTCCAGTTCTTGGATGACGGCGACCAGGATATCGATACCGATGTCAGAGTGGATGAGAGTCTCTTCCAAGACATGGATGACTTGGATTTGGATGAAGCGGAGAGTGAACGGTGAGAGTGAGAGAGCCTTTATGTAGCAATTGTTTATACCATATATTTTAAAAGTTAATATCATTTGATAACATATTTATTGTTTTAATATTAAATTCAAATAAAACTATTAGTAAATTAATGTCACAGTATATTATGTACTTTAAGACACCTTTAGAGGAATGTCTTGTTTTACTAGTAATTCATTTATGGAGTTAAAGGTAATTGAGTTGCAAATCTATAATGAAAATAAAACTTTTATTTTTATTGCAAATGCTTTCAAGAGAAATACAACTGCTTTAGAATTAAATACTATTAGAGGTTAGACAAGGAATACATAAATTTAAATTATAGGTTATATCTATTTACAAGTTCTTGAGGATCTGATTGTGGTAATTGGGGTTCACTCTGGGCTTAGGCGGTGGTGGTGTACCGCTACCTTTGCCCGCTATTGAGCGCAATATCTTCACCGACTTATCAGTATTGGTGACCGGAATGGGCTGTTCGGGGGTTATCTTATCGTTTTCCATGGATTGTAGCACTGATTGCGGCAATCGTTGGCCAACACCACTACCAGTGGGCCCACCATTTGAGCGCTTATTTTCATTTACCGGTAAGTGGTTGTGATTGGCCTGAACTCTGGACACACCTTTGGGTCGTTTAGTGGTGAGTCCGGGCGTGAACTCGACGGTCACGAAACTGTCGGCATTGTTGTTGTTATTGTATGAATTGGTGGACGCGTTGACGGGCGGTGTCATTGGATTGACAGCTGATCCCAAGTTTAAGTAATTGAAACGAGAGGTCTGTGTCGAGTCGTATGACGGCTCAACCACTGCTGTCGACGCCTTTTCCGTCACATTCTTGGCGTTGGATTTGTTTTGCTGATAGAGTTGTGGCATAAGAGTGAACCTCCGCGTGATTCCGAAGTCAAGGGGTTGTGGCGTACGGGTCAGCAGTTTGTCGTACCTCTGAGTGATAGGTCTGTCCGCGTAGTGATCACTGCTGTCCACTCGCTTGTCATCGACGGCCACCGCATTGGCCGCCAGTCTCACCGTTTGAGTGGTCCTCTCGTCACTGAATCCATGGCTCGGTTGCGACAAACTCTTTGAATTCATTACATTCTCGTCGTTGGACTCATCGGACGCACAATTGGCCGCCCATTGGGTGCTGTTGTCGTCGTCCACGAAGACATTGTCGTCCACTGCTTCTGAATATCGTTCGCCAAACGGTTTATATCCATATCTCTGGAGTCCGGAGTTGTCTTCGACGTCGTGGAGGATCTGTTTGAGTGCCTCCATCTTGTTTTGGACATCACTTAAGGGCCGATCCGCGCCTTTCACCTCATTATACAGTTGTGTGACTTCGACCTACCGGTGAAGACATGGTTTGAGACAATGAATGGACACAACAAGTGGTGAGCAATACATACATAAGTGGTCCTCACGTTTGAGTCAAACTGTTTGGCTTTCATGAGGTCTGCCATCACTTGCTCTTCACTTCTTTGGTACGAATTGTCAGTCATTTGCTTTAATCGCTTCACTTCTGTCTCGATGTGTTGGACACCACTCCTGAGGTTATCGAAGAATGAGGCCATCATTGGGTGCAATGTCTTCAGTGGTCATCAAATGTCTCATTCAATCACTGAATCACTGAATGAGCGCTCAATGCATGCATTCAAAGCGAGAGTCAATGCACTGATTGGTTGTATTCCACACTCAATACACTCTCAATGTATTGAATGAGCGCTGCATTTGAATCATAGCCGCAGTGTGTTTCCAATCAATGAAACTGTGCTTAAGTTAACTGCTATACAGTTATAGCAAATGTGGACTCATTTGGATTCAATTATCACTTAATTATTTATCATTTTACTATAAATTCATTGATTGTATAATTTGTCACAAATCTCCAAGAAATTGACAAAATATACAAAATATATAAAATGAATCATCACCCGCAGTGAACTCAGTGAATGAATAACTCGTATAACCATAAGAAGAACTTTTATTGTATTTTTTTGACAAAAACTATGAATATTTCGTTTTAAATACACTGAAAGTTACGAAAAACTTTTTCCATCGATATATGAGTGGTATCTATAGCTCACTCTTAGAGCTTCTTCTTGTTGTCCTTCTTAGCCCCGGATATGTCAGACCTGTCCTCTGATTTGCTTTGACTGCCGACCGAGTAATAGCCGGAACCGCCGCCCGAATTGCTTAGACTGGATCCGTCTGAACTGAGACTCGATTGGTGTCCGACACCACTGCCACCAGAAGAGGATCCGCCACCGGATGAGCTGCCGAAGACACTGCTGGCGATGGTCTCGATGTGCTGATAGACGCCATACTTCTTGAGCAGTGGTTCGCTGTGTCTCAAGACTTCAAGAGCGCAGAGGATGGCCCACAATATGATGAGGAGTGCGAATCGGAGGGGAAAGAAGTATCTCTTATAGCCATAGAAGAGCCACCGGAAGAAGACAATGACAACGGCCTGAAGGTCCCAAACGATCACATTTAGGACGAACTTCTCCTCCAAGTGGTGTTCCTTTACGTATGAGAACACTAAGTCTCGCACTTTCGCCACGTTTTCCATGTCTTGTGGGATGTGTTTGTATGACTGGAAGTGCTGTCTCTCTATCTATTGATACTATAGTTCTTGTAATTCAATGAAACCCAACCGACAGACAGATTGTGACTATACTTTTGATATGATTTACCGTTACTTTGGTTTAAATTGAATTATATTTCAAACGATTAATACAAATCTCGTGCAATAATATGATAGTTGCATACATTGGTAATCATATCTTCATTGTTGTATGACTTACGCCCCATTCAATACGATTCCTTGCTGTAAAGGGGCGTCCATTCATTATTCAAGACATTTACAAGTTGTGAGTTACAACTGACCACAACTGGGCTCTTGAGGTAGTGGTCAGATTGACTCAGCAGATGAAAGTATAAGATAATTAGACAATACTCGTCAGACTTGGTCTCAAATTTATTGCTTTTAAAACTCATTAAAAGTGAAAAATAAAAAATAAAAACAGAATAGAAATAGAAAAATAGAATAGAATATAACAGTAAAACAATTAATGGAAACATTTGTAAAATTCATTGACAATTGTATATAAATTGTATATAAAATAATTATTTTTAAAAATCAATCAATGGGTTGGAGTTGAGCCCAATTGGGACCAGTTTTCACGTTGACCGCCAGTTCCACCGAAAAGTTTTTCAAACAATTCTCCATACATTCAGTCAATAGGGAAATGAATGTCTGGACAAACGGTTCCATCACTTCGTACATCAACTCGTCGTGCATTTGAAGCACAAATCGCCACTCAATGGACTCCTCAGCTAAGAGTCGTGTCTGGAGTGCAGTCATCGCTGTCTTAACGAGATCTGCGGCCGAGCCCTGTATTGTCGAGTTGACGGCCTGTCGCTCAGCCTTAGCTCTGTCTCTGGAGTTCGAGCTTTCAATATGCGGTAAATAACGGCGCCGTCCGCTCAAAGTCTCCACAAAACCTCTTTCACGGCAGCGGTCGATGGTTTCGGCGATAAATCGTTTGACGCCATCGTATCGACCGATAAATGATTCCATAAACTCTTTGGCCTCCTCTTCGCTAACCTCCAGGTCCTCAGACAACGACTTCTCTCCCTTTCCGTATATCATTCCATAGCAGATCTGTTACACAAACACATCAAAAGATATTACAAAATAAGATACAAATAAGAGAATGTATTAATGAATACTTGTTTGGATTGTTGTCTCTCTTCATCAGTGACTTTATCCACGGGTTTGGATCTCCAGACGGAAGCGATATTCTTGAAGACATCGTCGCCACTGTTGAGGACATTAGTGAGTCGTTTATCTTTGGAGAGATGCGCCAAAATCCTGAGCTCTAACTGTGAATAGTCGGCCGAAACCAGAAGCCAACCCTTTCGGGCGATAAAACACTTGCGAAGACTAAAACTGACGGTTTGTTGGGAACCGTTGTCTTCTAAATCTATTCCATTTACAGTGAAATCCTTATTAATACCGATTAGGTTGGGCTCATGCATTGATATGCGTCCAGTGGATGACCAGTCGTCACACAACCCATTGATTACATGCAATTTGGAGTCACTGTCGAAGCAGATATAACTCAACACTGGATTAATCGACTTCTTAATGGCGTAATCGACTCGACGCCAGTCTAGTATAACCTGTGGTAATGGGTTCGTAGACAATGACATTAACTTCTTGAGGGCGATCTTCGATGTACTCAAATGTTTGGGTAATTTTCGATTAGTCCTTATGTTTGCGCCCCCTTTGGATCCTTTGACTGATTTCTTGACCTCATAATAGTTAGACAACAGATTCATGTCTTGGTATAAAACTCTGGCGATTTCTTTAGGGTCAGTCATTTTGAACTTAATGTGCGATATCTCGAAGGCTTTGGCCTCCAACTGGCGCTTCGTTTCGTTCAATGAATCCAATTGTCTGTTCATGTATTCAAAGTCAATGGGCATACCATTCAACTCCATGTCGGCGATTGTCAAACGCGACGGTATTTCTGTCCGTTTATATGCTTTCAATTGTTTCTTAATCTCCAACTCATTCATCAGTTGATTAATCAATGGAAACATAAGACCAGTCGATATGGAATCGATTTCCATTACATTTGTCTTTGATTTCAATAAATAGCTATAATTCCGGCAATAAATCCGCACTAATTGCTGTACACTATTGGGTCGACTGGACTCCGGGTCTAACACCCAGTGAGCTATCCTTACATCAAACCAATCAATTGAATTCAATAGCTGGACATCGCATTCAAAACACTGTTTTAGTACTTTATAACACAAATTCATGTCAAATGTAATTATCTTTGAATCGCTTTTAAGTTTAGTTTTCAACTCGTCTTTCATTTTCATGAGTGGCCTTTCGGTCGATACATAATAAATAGTGTTCTCACTCTCGAAAGCAATCATCAAAGCCGTGACAATCAGGTTATTATAGTTCATATCAATGCCATTCGTTTGACACCTATTTTTCTTCAGTGACTTAATCTTAGAACCAATCAATTGAACCGAATTTGTGGTCTTATCTTCAACTTTAAAGTTAAGACAAAACTCTTTCTGAAGAATCAATTTGTTTAATAACCCATCGATTACTGAGATGTTTGTCGAGTCGACAGTTAATACATTCAATTTGTCGCCAATTTTCAGTTCTTTGAATAAAGTCTTAGTGACCACAGAACTGGTGGACGAATCATCGGATTTGTTATCCAATGAGTCGTCAGAAAATGTGGGAAAACTATCATCAGATGTAAGACATGACGAAGAATGAGGTCTTTTATTGAGCCGTTGCGCCAGTTTTCCGGACGGACTCGGACTCGATGACCGTTTAGACGAGTGGTCCGACACCCGACTGTTCAGTGTATCACCAGAAGTATCAGGACTTAGACAGCGATTGGTTAACAAATCAGTACTAATAGTGGACACATTTTTCAGAGACTTCTCAGTAATGCTATTCATTTCGCACTCGTTATGACTTTCATTGATTTTATTGAGATCGCAGTTCAGTTGATCCCATGAGATGTTGTCTAAACTGTCGCCCAAATCGAAACTAGACTTCTCTTTGGTTTTTGATTTATCAAATTCAGCCGAAAATGTTTTTTCTATTTGTCTGTCACCTAAAGATCTCAATCTCGATGACCGACTGCTATGTGCGGCTATTGGTGTCGAAGACATCACACTTTTCACAGACAATGACTTATTGGCATCCAATTCAGAGTCTATCGTAAGAAATTAAAAAACATATGAAAAATAAACACTAACTTCATATTCAATAACCTTTCGCTTCATTTATAGATTTTTAAGAAACAATTAATCATTAAATTCATACAAAAATATATTATTATTCATAGAATATTTTAAATTACGGTAAATACATTTGTACTGAAAATAGGATAAGTATTACACAAAACGTCAGAATTTATAAATAAAATAGGATTCAATAAATTAAGCGAAAGGTTTGAACAGTAATTATTAGATCTAATAACAAATGAGATCAACGAAAGTGACAAATATGTGATTTACGGCTGAGATCTGTTGTATTAGTGCAGTCCATGGGCGACATCACCATCTGTTCCACCGATGTCTTCGATATATTCACATGAGATGTCCGGTTGGAACTGATATGATCACAATTATCGGCCAACACATCCTGTTCTACAAACGACATGTCTTCCACTGAAACACAGTCTTCACGATTAGTATTCTCTTTAATGGCATCCAATTTCTTGGTTGGGGTCAAGATTTTCGTGAACTTAGTGTTCGGCACATCATTTGAATCGTCGCTAAAGTCCTCCAAGAAGTCACTGTTTGGCGCGTCATTCGAGTCCACACTAGACGTCTGACTCAACTCATAGACTCTGATCCCGAGATCTTTATTAATTAGTTCTCTGGCCTCGAAGACAATGGATTTCGCCATTTCTCTCACATTCATGGCTTTACTGAGCGCTGGCAGCCATACGACAGATGACTCCGCAGACCTACTCTTATCAAAAGGTCCGGAATTCATAAGAATGAGTTCAATGTCCGCGTAGTTCTCCACATTAGCTAAAGACACGACTGTATCGTATCGGCTATTATACAGAAGTCGAGCCACACTTGCGTTCAGACTTGTAATCCGCATCAGATCTATGAGCTCTCGCTGGACACCGAAGAATAGCCTACTTTGGAACTGTTCGATGAGAATCTCGAGGTTATGCCAACCGAGTCGGTTGCAGAAGGTGGTCAACATCCCGGCATAACTGCTGGCGCTCTGTTGTAGTGATTGGAGTACGCCTTTCGTGCACTTAAACTTAGCCGACACCTCCTGGAGGGGTATCTCGTGGACCAGATCGTGGAGTGCGAGCGCCGCGTAAAATCTCTTATGAATCAATCGCTCGTCTTCGCCAAAGACTCGACTCTTGCGGAACAGCGAGAAGAGGGTGTTCTCGGAAATGCCCACCAGTTTGCCCACACGTTTCATATCGTCGTCCAATTTGTCCCAAATGTTGAGAAAGTGTTGCCAATCGATGGACTCCAACTGATCGCTGAGTGTAATGGGCGTCACTTCGTATAGGAGGTGCAGATCGTTGGACAGACAGAGATTGACTTTCGCTTTATTCAGTTCACTCAATATGAAGGCGCCGTCTTTGGGGGATATGCCGGACGCGAGCACTGCTTTGCCGAACTGAGTGGGCTTTATCTTCTTTTCGGGGTTGTCACCGGTGTCTGTCATACTGTGTATCAGTTTCTCTGACACCAGATATGCGATGATATCGTCGATAATAGTCTTTGTGATGGCAGTGGACATAACTGACGCCAAAAATGACTTCTGAATGTATTCGGCGACGTCTTCGTAACTATTGGCCATTCCATTGGCTATAATCTCGAGAACTGCTCTTCTAATACCACTAAACGACTGGTCGGGCAAAGGCTGTCCATCGACAGCGACAGCCATTAAACAACTAGTGATTGGACTCATATCTGCTTTCAACAGCTCTTCGCCTTTCAATCTATTGTTTTCAGTGCACATCAGAATACTCTCACCCATTGTGTCGACGCCCTGACGGCCAGCCCTTCCAATCATCTGTCTATAAGTCATGACATCCATGACATCTCCGCGGAAATCAAGCGGCGATTTTATGATAACCAGACGCGCCGGTAGGTTAACGCCGGCTGATAGTGTGGATGTGGCGCACAATACCTTCACAACTCCGTTACGAAAGGCCTGTTCAATGATCGCGCGCTCGTCTATGGATAGGCCCGCGTGATGGTAGGCCACACCGAAGCGCAGGTTAGCCACGATTGTGGGGTCAGCACCGGCCGTACACCTCTGCAGTTGTTGCAGAACTTCTTCGATACGATTGAAGTCGAGCGCAGATTTGAGTTTAGCTCTGAAGGCTTGTGTGCACTCATTGGACACCTTCTTCCCGGACCCCAACTCCCAGATATTAGAGGCCAGAGAGCGACACAACCGCTCGCACTGAGCTTTCGTCGCACAGAACACCACAGATCCCAACCCATTGACGAGGGTTTCTATGGCCAGGAATATGAGATTCGTGTCATCGCTTCCACTCTCACTCTTCTTGATGTCGTAATCTTTGAGATCGAGGCGTCTGTATTCAGTCATCTGTTTTGTATCGTATATAACGTCTCCGATGTTAACCCTTTCGTAGAGCGCAACGGGTCTGAAATCTGTGACATAGAGGGCCGCGTCTAACCATTTGGCGATCACATCCAGATTGGGAATCGTAGCACTCATTCCCACGATTTGGATCTCGTGTTTCAATCGGTGCTTCAAATACAACACTTTCGTTAGCAATAACTCCAATAGAAAGCCTCGACTGTTGTTCCCAATCATATGGAGTTCGTCCACAACTATTAAACCGATTTCATTGAGTCGATTGTCTTCTATAAGTCTAAAGTATTAGACAAAACACATTACAACTCATTGACATATCTCAGCAATTCATTAGATCTATACTTATTAATCATATTATTGGCCTTTTCGATGGTACAGACGGCTACATCGACTCTGTCGAGACCCCCGCGGGGGTGAACCCCACCGGCGAATGCGTCGACTCTAACCCCTACCGACCGGAGCACTCGTTTCAATGATAACATCTTCTCTTGAGTGACCGAAACGAATGGTAAGATAATTATAGCCTTCTTCTTATACTCCAGTAACTTCTTGTACAGCAATATATCGGAAACCATGGACTTTCCGGCACTGGTGGGCGCCGAATAGACCAGATTTCTGCCATCGAGTACACCATCTATGTTGAGACACTCGACCTTCGGGTGATAAACTCTTTGCTTAATACATTTCGACATAATTATCATTGACTACAAAATACCTGCCAATCAAACAACCTATTGATGCCTTTTCTGGCGTAAAACTGATGCATTTTTGGTGGAAAACTCCAGTTGGACAGCAAATTGCGATCAAAATTGCCGCTAATATTACTGACACTCGAGTTGCTGTCATCGCACGAGTAGTTGATTCGTATCTTCTCATCGGATTTGAGGGCATTTTGCCATTTATGTCGATTCCGTTTGTGGACAGACTGTCTAACATTTCTTTGTTTGTTTAACAGTTTCTTTTTAAATACATTTTTCGTCGATTTGTTGATATGTTTATCCATTAATTGAACTCAATTTTCAAATCACAATAGAGTATAAAATCAATTTTTATCTGAAATCAAATGTTAATTAAAATATAATTAAAACCAAACATAAAATATTCAATGCGTTTACTCGTATTTAATATTTATTGAATAAATATTGAATCATAAAATATTTACAAAGTTTCAAATTTTACTTTATCATTGACTCGTGACGTGAAATAACTTCAATATAAAAAGCATTTATCATTCATTCATTGGGTTTTCGATTCGTTTGTGTTTTCAATATAAAACTCAATTTAATTACATTACCGTTCATTACATAACAAACCACTCATTTAGACCTAAACCTCTTAAACAGTGGGTGTTTGTGATCAGTCTTAGGACCCTTTGACCTATACTCCATATACACATTATCATCGGCACCCGATATGGAACTCATATTTCCAGCCTTTCTCACAAATCCTGGCGCACCCGACCTGACGGCCCCATCGACGCCCGGAATCCTTTCCTCTTCAGCGTCGGTGTCATTGGCCTGTAATACCTGTTGGAGGAGCTGTTGCTGATCCTCTCGGGACTTGAAGAACAGCTCCTCCTCGTCCATACCTTTGAGAGTTGTGATCACTTTATAACTGTATCCCTGATTCACTAAAAACCTCTGCCTCTTCCTCGAGTACTGCATCTCAAGGGTGTCCTGAGATACCAGTGAATAGAAGAAGGCGTTGTACTCCTCGCTCATCATTCCCTTCTTAGGACGCAATATACGGCCCAATCGCTGCGCCTCCTGACGCCGGGAGCCTCCGTGACTCGACACTTGGATCAGTACATTGGCTTCCGGTAAGTCAAACGATGTATCGGCTATTTTGGACACAAATATTGTATTCAATTTGGGGTTATATTGAAAGTTCTGCAGAATTTGGAGCCGTTCCCCTTGAGATGTTGGTCCGTAGATATAGGGACTACACGTAAAAACAACCAAAATTAGACAATAATTTACATTTAACACAAGTCATGTCAATCACATACCGGCCCATCTTTTTGGCGTAATTAATGAGCGCAAAGATATTGTCTGAAAATACAATTATCTTATCGTTTCTGCGTTCGTGGTATCGGATTAGGAACTGACAGACTCTGAACTTATTTGGATTCATCACATATAACAACATCTTTTTGCAGGTTCTAGTGGACAGGTATTCGCGGTAAAACTCGGGAGCCATTGGACACCAGACCTCAGCGCACTGGACCCTTGCGATGTAGCCGTTGGCCTGGAGTTCGAGCCAATTGGCTTCGTATAGCTTCGGACCGATCAAGAAGTTTAGATCTGCTATCTTGTCGTCCTCGCGAACCAACGTAGCCGTGAGTCCGAGCTTACAGTGCGCCTGAACTATGGTCAGCACCCGACGGAACATCTTAGCCGGGATGGTGTGCACCTCATCCAACAGCATGAGACCCCACTCCTGTTCGGTCAGCCACTTCATCACCTGCTCGGCCTCCCACGACCTCTTCTGGGTGTGCGTTATCATCGAGTAAGTGGTCACACAAATGCCACTTCCGATCGGCTTATCCTTTGCGTCCGAAGTGAACCGACAGATCATACTGTCGTCGGCTGTCGACCACAACTTGAACTGTAATTACAATAAAAATATTTATTAATCATTTGATAATCAAATCAAATTCAAGCGATCATTACCTGAGTCTTCCACTGCTCCACAGAAACGGCTGAATTGCAGAGTACAAGACATCGCTTCTTAACGGTACAACAGGCGGTCACGCCTACCAGCGACTTACCGGCCCCGCACGGCAACACTATTACGCCCGACCGGGCCCTCCCGTTGCCAAACATTTTACGTAAACTCTTCTCCTGATAGGGTCTCAGAAGAGCCGTCGGCCTTAAGTCCATACTAAACAACAGACAATCCGTGAGTATAACTAAAATATCTTAATATAAAACTAATATAAAATTACTTGATATCGGGATTTAAAGTATCATTTTTGAAGTCATATTCAGCTAACAATGGGTACTCCAATTGAATGCAACGCTTCTGTAGGTTCTCGATCTCCGATTGATTCACTTCGAAGGACACCGTTTTTACGTCATCCGTGTCGTCGTCGTCTCTCTCCATCTTCTCGTAATAATTGGCGATATCTTCGGGAACTTTAGTCACGTCTTCCTCTTTAGCCGCGTCTTCTGTGCCATCAGTTTTGCCATCACTTGGTTTACTTGCCTTAGAAGTGGTGACTATAAGGCCATCGCCTTCCACTTCATTGTCGGCATCCCTTCTGAGCCGACAGTTCTGTATTTCGGGGTCTTTTAGTAACTTTTGTATCACTTCCTGATAATCGATACGAAAAACCAATTAATTTCACGAATTTATGAAAATAATGAATTCATTGCTTACAACAAAAGGCGATTCAACGAAATATCGGTTGTGTTTCAAAACCAGTTTCACTTTACCATAGCTTATGGTACAGAGCTTTGGGAGCAAATGAGACAAACCATTAGCTATTCAATCAATACTTGAGTCAAACCAATGCTTACATTAATAAACTCGACGATCCCGTCAGGAATTGTCGTTTTACTCAAACGTCTCAAGTATTCAATGATGTCTTTGGTCTGAAGGCCGACAGAGACGGCGGCGTACAGTGAATATGCCGTCAGTTTATACTCGTGGATGTGTTCGGGACGGGAGACCGGCTATAGACACACCAATCAGACAAT